TAAAACTAGTTATATTGTTGTTTAAACATGAAGAAATGAACATTTTAGTGTGTTTTGAAACTCATGCCATGATCCCGGGGTTACGTGACTCTAAAGGCCGTGTCTTGATATTTGATTTCATGTTTGTTGTTGTTAACATCCAGTTATCACTAGAAGCTAGTCATTAGCCAAAATGTATATTCCTTTCCATGTCTTCAGAGAAAATCTTTGGATTGAGGTGGACATGGCATCATTACCCTCAGTAATTTCGACAGCTAACGGAGAAATAAGGCGTATCAGATGAAACTGAGGGACGAGAGGCATTCTCATCACTTGGTTCTCTAGAGATTTATTTTTTCACATGCATCAATTACTAGAGGCAGTAGCATTAGAAGGTGTTTATTTTGGTTCTTTGATTTTAAAATATGAAAAAAATTTCACTAATTTTGATTTATCTTTGTCAAATTTTGTGTCCTATAATTTTACATGAGTTGATTCTTCCATTATTAATTTTTAAACAGGGTTGTTCATTGCATGAGTTATCTCTCACAGTGAAAAACCAAAAATATCCATATCGGATTGTCCGGAGTTTGAAATTCGGACGCAACACACGCTACAACAAACTATTTTTTCCGCATCTCATCATAAGAAATGTCTGTCTTCTATAGGCTACAAAAACCTCTTGAACTCTAGTATCTCACCATATCAACTAGTGTTTGGTAAGCTAGGAAGTGTTTGGCAACTTAATGGATCAACGCTGCTGCACCTTTATAGTCCTTTCGACTATGTGATTTTGAGAAGTTAGTAAGTGTAACTTCTTGCTCACCATAATTTCTCTGATCACCAAACATAGGCTTAGAATGTTGGTGAAATGTGCCTTTTTGGCTTGGAAACACACAAACAAACATACTATTAAAATCACGAGCAATACACCATTCTCTTTTTTCACTATTATCTTTTAATATCACAACATTTCTTGCACAATTTCTTTAAAGATGTTATGACTGAACTACAATTTCTTGCACTATTATTCGTTTAGCAAATTCTCTGCTGTCTGCCGGATACTGTTCATCCTTATAGTTTCCAATATGTATTGCATCATCTTTAACTTGTTCATTCCCATTTGCAATTTCTGAAGTCAAATAATATCCAAACTATAGTGTTACGATTTATAAAGTCAAATAATGTTGTTTATTTAATCCCTTCCACATCCAAAAGTGTCCATGAAATATTAATATCATTTTTACTATCGACCATTCTGCAAAAAGTAAAGCACACTGAACTAATGAAAGGACACTACATTCCATATTCAAGCAATTTTGCAAGACTTTGAGAAAACAAGTATGAATATTGAGGTCTGTTTATCCAATTAACTCAGCATCAGTCAATTATATACGAGGTATACAGTTATACGTGGTACTTGTCCCAAGGCAGAAGGTTCTAAATCTAGTTATGGTAGCCCGACACCGTGGTCAGGTTTGAACTCAGTGGAGGAGCGGGCTGTTATGCTTGGCTTCTTGACTGCTCTTGGTTTAGATCTTTTAACAGATGATACTTAACTCAATCAGGATTTGTGGTCACTTAAATTGTTATGGTTATATACACACACTAATTTAGCGCAAGTTGGTAAGAAATAGAAAATTTGAAGGTAAACCCCAATATAATCTAACAGCAGTTGTCATTGCATTTGAACTTACCTTTCACAACCAGCTGGCACATTCACCCAACAATCGCAAAAACAAAAGAATTATATGTTGCAAGTGTAATTCCTTGTGTCGAAGCATATTGTTGCTCGACACAAGGTGTGTCGAAGCAGATTGTTGTGTCGAGTTGTATAGCTATCAAAGTGTCGAAATAGATTGTTTCACATAGGTTTTTGATTTAGATTCAAAATAAATATTTTTGGCTTTTATAGTTTTTGCCTTTTTGGCTTTTTGACTCGGGGAGAAAGCTAACCTAAAACTATAAATAGAAGGAGTAACCAACTGCTGTATCCCAAAATTTACCCTCTTTTTTCTCAAGACCTTTTTTCACAAGGATTTTCAAAATGGCAAGTTTGTACAAGTACAATTGGATTTTTGGCTCTCAAGCATCAAATCGAAAAAGAGCAAGTCTGCTTTGATTCATAAGCTTCGATTGGATATTTGGCCCCCTTCGATCATGTCTTGATTCATACGCTTCGATTGGGTATTTGGTCCCCTTAGATCAAGCTTTGGTCCACCAGCTTCGATTAAGCATTGGGTCCCTTTCGAGCAAGCTTTGGTCCACAAGCTTCATTTGGGCATATTGTCCCTTACAGATTTGCTTCGATTCACGAGCAGTAGCCTCCTATAAATTTACTTCGATTCAACAACAGTAGTCTCCTACATACTTGCTTTGATTCATAAAGCAGTGGCCTCCTGCATGTTTGTTTTGATTCACAGAGCAGTGGCCTCTTGCATGCAAGCTTCGATTGAGCATTGGTCTCTTACGTGCTTCGATCCACAAGACAAGTGCTTCCTCTGTGCTTGCTTTTGACCCACAAGGAAATGACTTCCTATGTGCTTGCCTTCAATGCACAAGGCAATGGCTTCCATTCATGCTAGCGCCCATAAAACAGTGGTTTCTTTTATATGTGCTTCAATTCATTAAGCAGTTGGCTTTCCTCATGCTAGCTTTGACTCCACCTCTAAAAATCCCTCAACATAGTTTCTACAATATGACACACAATGTGGTCCATTTGAAGAAGAATTCAAAAGGTCCATTCGAAGAACATGCATGTGGTCCATTCGAAGAACACACATGTGGTCCATTCGAAGAACACACATGTATTAAAAATAAATTTTGCTTTGTCTTTTGATGAGTCTGATTCAAGATGCTTGTTGGTCAAAGTCCTATATGTGGCCAAGTCCAAGCCTCCTGCACGATTACATTCATGACAAATGAAGCTTCGATTGGCCATAATGAAGTTTTCGATTGGACCAGTGGGGTATCCTAAAGCCAATCGAAGAACAAGGAAAATAGGGGCTCAATCGAAGAAGCCACAATAATGAAATCCAGAGCCATCGAAAGGAGCAATTCATAGCCAATCGAAGAACAAAGCGTGGAGGCATTCGAAGGAGTCATGGAGTGAAACATTTCTAGGTTCACTCCAAAACCCAAAAGGGTAGGAATCCATCAAAAATGGTAATCCTTTAACTTGTCTGATTTTGCCTTCAAAGTATGGTTAATGGATGTCCCTTGCCATTTTCATTCACCTCCGCCCCTATAAATACATACCTAAAGATACATTGTCAAGGACAAAAAAAAAGAGACAAGAAAAACATTGCCACAGAAACATTCTTACAGACTGCATCACACAGAATACCAATCGAAGCTGCAGACAGATTGCCAAACGAAAGTATTTTGCCACACACGTCTGTTGTCCCACAAGAGCTCCATAAAACTTCTAAAATTCCAACAAGGTTGTCAGAATCGAAGCAACCTCTGTAGGCCTCTCTAATCCAAAACAATCACTCCACTGGTAACAAACCTTCGATCTCAAATTCATTTCATATGTAATTTAATTTTGATTGTATATTCATGCTGCATAACGTTTATGATGGTTGGTGTGTTACATGTAAAGTCTAAAGTAACAGGATACTTTTACTAAGGCATATGAAATGGATTTCTTTGAATCTTAAATCCAGCTCAGATAGTGAAGAAGAATGTGTGCAGTCGAAAGGACCTGGGTTCGATATTCAGGCCTTGCAATTTTATTTTTTCTAACTCTTTTATGCAAATTCAATGTTCCTTGGCTACGCACGCACACCATACACCATCAAGTCCAGGCCATCAAATGCACATCTGATCTGAATCCAACGCCCTAAGCACGTAACCTCGCCATGGACTCTCCTGGGGATCTCCCACTGAATTCAAGGGCAGATATGAGCTTTTCACACTTGGGCCCAGCGAATTTTATTTCATATCCCCTCTATTTCTTTTGTTATTAGGCCCATTTATATTTTTGTTTTATCTTTACTATTTACTTCTTTTAATTTTATTTTAATTTTTTTAATCAGTAAAAACAAATAAAATCACAAAAAAACATTAGGTTAGTATTTTTTTTGTTAATTAAACTAATTTTGTAAATGAACTAATATTTATTTAAACCATTTTCTTAATTTTAGAAATGATAGAATTATGATTTATTTGAATTCAATTTTCTTCATAAAACAAAATAAAATAACAAAAAGATTTCATTTTTAGGATTTAGAAGTCCTTTCAATTCATGCGCGTTTATTATTTTAGCATTTGTTATTCTTATCATTATTGTATCTGATTATGGGTTGTAATAGTTAAAATTAGGACTTTATTTTCTGCTTTTTATTTCTCCCCCAAGTTTTAGACTATGTTAATAATCCCCCTCCCCGAAGCTTTGTAATAGCGTAGATTTAAATTCTCACATTTTATTCCTCGTACATATTTGAACTGTTTAGATGTATGATTAATAGGATTGTATGATAAAGATTAAAACCAACGCTGGCAAACTTAACACAAGACAAAAATAATTGAACATAACACACTATCACACGCGCACCTTTAGGGTACTCCCACTTTTGTTGCCTTCAAAAAAATAGTCACAACTCTCGAAACGTGAGAGATTTTAGTGGCTATCCTCCGGTTTAAATATCACAAGTCCCTCGATGACCCTCTCTACGTTGCCTCGATAAAGTGATCTTAAAACTCTAGGGTAGTTACTAAGGTTTCTTTCCCAGTTGCCTTTGTAACTATAAAATGTCCCTTCGAATGTCCCTCATACATCCAAATGACTAGGGCTACCTACTCACTAATAGTAGGCTAGCATTGTTTAAAGGAAAGGAGGAAAAGAACGAACCTTTCGAGTAAATTAGATA